GTAATTTATCTAACAACAGAGAGAACGATACCACTGTAAACCTTCTCTAATAAAGATGCAAAAAATACGATTCACAGAAATACATTTTTCAGTCTTATACTATATGGAACCCACATAAAAAATTTCGATAGAAAAGTAAACTAATTCTCTCTCATTATATAAGCAACAATGGCAGGCAGTTTTTAATGATTTTCGACTTTGTAATCAAATGGTCGTAAAATATCAAGTTCTATCTAATGGTTCACCTATATTGAATTTTAGACGAATAAATGTGGCAAAAAATTGATCATAATTGATCAGAAATCAGTAACGCGAACGAACAAACAAACATACAAACAGACATTCTTCATTATATATATATATATATATAGATTTTGCAAAATTTACAAATTTTTGATTAACAAATTGTACGATTTTAAAGAGAGCAGTAGCAACACTTTTCGAAATAAAGTATTTCTATCACCAGCGTTGTGCGAGACTGTTGCCACTCGGAAAACATGGACGAAAATTAGCGTTTTCAGAGTTTTTAATTAATATTTCGGCTGATTAAAGTCGTGCGAAGATGGGAAAAGTCGAAATGGCTTCCCAGGAATTTTTGGAATTGAGAATAATGTATTTAATATTGGGTAATGCTATTTTTACTTCGTTGTAAAACTTGGAAATTTTTTATTAACAAAACTCTACGATTTGAAAGCGAGCAATAGCAACACTTCTCAAAATAAAGCAGATTTTTATCTCCAGCGTGCGTGACTGCTGCCACTCAGAAAAATGAGGACGAAATTTAGTGATTTCAGAGTTTTTAATTATTATCTCTGATGTTAGCTTTTTGTCCCTGAAGGACTCCTGTTTTTGTTTTGCGATTTTGTGTTGAAAACCGTAACGGAAAAGGCTGTATCACTTTTCATATCGTTGCCACTAACTACTAAGGCCGTGTATTCTATTTGAAGAAATTAATAATGAAGAATCCGCATAAATGTATGTATGTTTCTCGCATTGTAATAAAACAACGGTACCTATAGAGCCATCCAATTTTGAATGACGCAGTCCTTTTGTGAATATGGGCCGAAATTTGGAATTTATTTTATTATTGATTTCCTATCTTGTAAAACTTTAACAAATTTTTGATTAACAAACTCAACAATTTAAAAGCAAGCCATGGCAACACTCTGCGGGGGGGGACCTTTTTATCTCCAGCGCGCGGAACTATGGATCAGAAAATCAAAATCGTAAAAACAACCTTATATTTAGCGTAGGTATAATGAAACACTCAATCGATTTCGAGGGCAGCTAAAGGTCCCTCCTCATCAGGAGAAAGAAATACATAGAAAGAAGAAATAAAAAGGAAGGAAGTCACAGAAAACGTGGTCCTTATCAGCACTGCACGTGGTTTATAACTAGATTTTTAATCAGAGTTGCACTGGCCGCCTACTTTTACTGAGCCAGGCTATCTGATCGAGCATGAAAAATTAGCGAAGTTAAAATAGGGAGCGAGGGGCAAATGCACCTTACGCTCAAAATCTGAACTTCAAATAATGAATCAAAATTGTAAAAACAACCTTGTATTATTTGAAGTTCAGATTTTGAGCGTAAGGAGCATTTGCCCCTCGTTGAATAATGAATCAAAATCTTAAAAACAACCTTGTATTATTTGAAGTTCAGATTTAGACGTAATTTAAAATCTGAAATCTTTTTTTTTTTTTTTTTTTTTGTTTGTTTGTTTGTTTCGCCATTGCTCGATTTAAAATCGTTGAGTTTCTTAATCAAAAATTCATAAATGCTTTACAAAATATGAAATGGATAATAAAACAAATTCTAAATTTGGGTTTATAAATGCCCATATTCGGTCGGAGACGTATGTTATTCAAAATTTGATGGCTCTAAGTACCGTTGTTTTATCACAATGCGTGAAACATACTACTTATCTTTATGCAGATTTTTCATTATTTTGTAGAGTGATTAGGTTATATCGAAGCAGGAGAGATGAAAAATGAGCATTGCCCTCACCGGGACTCGAACCACGTACCTCTCGAATACGCGCCGAGCGTGCTGACCATTACACCACGATGGCATGTTAGGAAGGTTAGAAAAATACATTATAATTTAATTTCTTTAAATATAATACAGGGCGCTGATATTTGGTGGCAACAATTTAAAAAATTGATTCGCCGTTTATAATGAATTAACACAAAATGCTGAAACGAAATGAATAGCCCTTCTGGGCTAACGCCCTTTGGGCTAAAAAAAGGCTTTTTAGTGCGCTTGACTGAAATCATATAACTTCAAGTGTCACCCCCCCCTATTTTTATTGAAATTCAAATTATGAAAATCAACAACGAATGGTTAAAACGAAGATGTTTAATATTTACATAAAACTTAATTACATTCATCAGTGTTTCATCCTCAAAAATAATCGAAACATTGTAACAACCAATGGATTAAAGCAATTAAGAGGAACTTAATTGTTCCTATTGAATTTAAGGCTAAAATTAAACTAATTATTCGAGCTGAAGCGGACAGCATGTATTCGTTACCGAAAAAGGGGTATATTGGCTGACTCGAAGCACAAAGAACGTGATATTTAATAAATAAAGTCAACGCACAAAACGTTAATAATAAAAAGACAAGAAAGGTTTTATAAAGCCATCTTAGTAAATAAAACTAAACATTGACATAATGAACTGAGAAAAGGCTGAAAAAAAAATGTTTGCCAACACTTAATGCTGCATCGGGAATTCTAAAAGAACGCTCCATGCTGCTATTAAAACATTTGTAATTTTCTTTCAATTGTGTATGGCGAAAGGGCGAAGAAAATTATGCTTAATGATAAAGCTAAATAAAAAAATCTGATGTGTACACCACATGACTTCCTTGTACGGAATATTAAATTATACGCATTTTTTCTTGCATTTCATTTAAACTTATTGGATTGAATTAAATCTACTTCGCCGACAGCGCATAAACCACAAGAGAATAAATGCATTCTTTAAAATTCACTCTAGAATTTGTTTACCATAGCGACACTCTGGCTATGGTAAACTGGAATGATAATTCAATCATTTTTAAAGCAAAAATTGTACAATTTACAAACATATAAGAGTAAAGAAACTGAAATCACTGAGCCTATAACATCTACATGTTATAGCAGTCCTATATACAAAATTTCAATGTTCTGAGGCTACTCGTTTTTGAGTTATGCGAGATACGTACGTAGGTACATACGTTCGTACAGACGCCACGAAAAATTCTCTTCAGAATTCATTTTAAAGCAGTTTCATAATTTTTTTGGAGGAAAAGAGTCTTTTATTCTGACCTTACGTACAGATATCACGCAAAAACATCGTTAAATTGCATTCGAAAGCGGTCAAAATAGATATTTTCGTTGAAATATGCTGCCTGAAACTTTTCGTGATTACAATACTTCCTTTTTACTTCGTATAAGAAAGTAAAAAGGGGGTCGGTAGAAGTGAATGTAACAGCAGGCTGGTGTAGAGTGAGAGCTCAGTGAAAGAATAAAAAACTTCTACAAACCCTTTTGGGAGACGACCATTAAAATCTGAAACCTTCTAGATTTTCTCCTTTTTATTTTATTCTGTTATATAAAAATATATAAAAAGGTTGTGCTATCATCATTCAAATATATAGCAAATAATTTAAAATATACTAATTTAAAATCCTTAAAACTTTTAAATGAATATACAATAATAATTTTTACTTTAATAGTAAATAAAAAGAATGTCGAAAGAGCAGTGTACAATAAGGAACTGGGCTTTGATTAGTTTAATAATCATAACACCAATAATGTTTAAAAGAAATTCAAATTAATCATATGTAATAACTATCAATGAATTTCTCAAAAGTTACAGAGATGCATAAATTAAAACTTATCTTTACGAGAAATGAAAACATCTAAAAAATCAGAAAAACTAATATAGCGCAAAACGATACAAATAGCTCAGAAAATGGATATCAGAGTATGGAAATGATTAAGTTTCCTTGTGAGCCGAACGTCAAAAATCAGTACTACTGTTGCTGGGAATCGAATCCATTAACTGCCCGGTTCTACTAATCTCTAAATCACAAAGTCTTATACTAAAAAGTTTTTTAAATATATTTAACTTTTTAGATACTGTTTCCACTCTCCAAGAGCGATTTTTCGAGATCACGTTTAGAAATTTTAGAGAAGTTTTTAAGATTCCGCTAATATGAGATATTTTTCCAGAATTCGATTTTTTTTTACAACAGTTAGATTACTTTGAAACTTAAATAATTTTTAACGTCACTTTTCTTTAGAATTTCCGCAAATATACGCTGCGAAGTAATTCTGTTCCAAAATTCGAACAAAAGCTGTGAGTTACCCTACATTTTGTTCGATTTCTGGAAGGATTCTTTTTCAAATTCCTTCAACTGAGCACAGCGAAATAGGCAGATTCTAGATTGTGGCGTGTTGCCCTTTAATATTTATATCCACGTCTTAAAGGTGGAAGATCAGAATAAAATTCACAATCGACATAAATCACAAGATTCATTTTGGATTGAATTTATTCCATCACGTGATGCTACGTGCCATTCTTCCTCCCCTATATGTCTGCTCCAATGAAATTCAAATCAGCTTTCTTTTATTCCAGTAAAAGAATCGAAACGTTTATTCGAAGACAAAGCTTCTCTTCCATAATCCTTTACGCAAAAACAGTAAGTGTTATGGCGTCATTCAGCATCTCCACCCAACACCCCAAACTGTTTAGCAATTAGTTATTCCTCCATTATTTTAATTCCTTAACCCTTCTTTCACGCAGTTAACCGCTCTACTAGTTTCGCTGTCTATTGCTCTGGATGTTTGTTTACTTTAACAGTTCTTTCAAGAACTGCGCGCATAATGGCGTAGAATGAAAAAGTAACACGCGCCATTTTATTTTTTCAACTGCCCATGCAAACAAGATGCTTAATGAACAAGAGCTTTTTAATATCCAACAGCAATTAGCATAGACACTCTTTGCCGCATATTCAATCCTACCAGAAAAGAGAACATGCGATGAAGCCATTGTATGTGGGCCCACATCCGCTGGACAGAGTGAAAAGAACTTCCAATCTGGACGGAAGGTCGTTGCTATTCATTCCATTTGCTTGCTCGCTTCATAAAAATCCAATAATCATCGTTTTCAACGGCTGCTTTCTTTTTAATTGTTTAAATGCCTCGCGCGCATGTTTTCTGTTCTTTAACTGTGGCAACGCAGGAAATATCCAACCATCCAAAGAGTTTGCAACACCTCGGCCTAAGAAATACAAAAGCTCGTCAATGACCTCATTTAATTTAAGAAGAGGGTTGTTTTTTGATTCTTAATTATCGTGATGGTGAAATGGAGACCCAATATAAGAGGAGGATTGTGTCAGATGATCGCTCAGAATTTCTCTAAAGAAATTTTAAGTTTCAGTGTGGAAGGGCATTGGGAGTTGCTTCTGATCAGGAAAAGTAAGTGCATTTAAAAATGATTTATAATTCAGGGATCCAATTACCTTCTGTTTAACAAATTAATAAGACTATATAAATCAATTTAGATCAAAATTAATGTATAAAATTCAATGTAGATCATAATGGCGTAATGAGAATAAATAGTTTAAATTTCAGAAGATTTCTCTGTTGATTGAAAAAAAATACATACGTATATTTCCATATTGCAACTTATTGAGAGTTGAATTATATAAGTATTTCAAATTATGTGGTTTTTAAGAAATATGCTAATAATTTAAATAATAAGTTATTGTAGCTCTTACGGCATTCTTGATCAGACGAAATTAAAAATGAAATGTTTATTCTGTTAACAGCGATGGACTTTGTCTTACAAACTTCGTATTTAAGGAATTCTTGATTAACAAATTCGGTAATTTAAAAGTAATGTGCTAACACACAGCAAAGCATAAGATAATTATTTCAAATTTCATCAGAAAATTAGGCGATTTAAAAGAAATATGTTACCTGTGGGCGAAACGTAAGGTATTTTTCTTTCAAATTTGATAAAAGAACTCAGATAACTAAAAGAAATGTGTTGCCACTCAGTGGTATAAAATATTTTTAATTTTTACGTGCCAGTGTGTTGCCACTTGGCGAAGGGTAAATATTTAATTTGTGTTTCTAATTTAACCTATCTGTTACTGAGTAATAAATTAAGCTATGTAAAAGCAAGTAAAGGGAATTCTTTATCTCTGCTTTTATTATTTACAACTGGACGCGTAAAATGATATTAAATAGACTCCATCAAACAATCACACATTTCTCGTTTTATAGCAATTATTTTAGGTGACTGGTGTTTAAAAAAGCACGGTCCAATTAAATGTAATCTTGGTACAAAAAAAAAAAAATGGTATTAAATATATTTTCAGGATTTGGTTTGGCTTAGAAATGAAAATTTCAATTTCAGATGTACAATGTAACTTTTATTTATTTACTATATCAATTACTAGTGTTACTGCTTCGTTTCACTCCCACCCTAGAAATGCTAAAGCAAATCCTTGACCCGAAATGTTATACTAAAATTGAATGAAAAATATTCTACGCCGCCATTTTTCGTTACTTTAAATTTTGACATTACACATAAATAGTATTAGTGTGTGAAATTTAATTATTAATGTTAATATTTTATTGTGGAATAATATTAAGCTAATATTTTATTGTGGAGTAAATTTTCATTGTGATTTTCGTTAATATTCATCACGATTTTCGTTAAGATTTTGCACAATTTGTGTTATTTCAAAGTTTTGTTTCCACAACGCTTCAAGTAAACATACTCGATTATCATCATTTATACATTTCTCGTTTATATGTCTTTCTCATTTATATGTCGTTTTATCCATATCCCGATTCATTGCCATTCATGTTTTTAGTAAAACCCGATTGTTCGACGTAATGGCAAACGAAGCATATCGTTGAACCTTGGTTCGAATCCCAGAGAAGCATGGAAGTGTACGGTGTATGTACGGCAGGGGTCACTTAAACTAGTGATGGACGAAAAGTCCTTTTCGAGTACGTTAGTCGTAAGAGAAGAGATGTAGGAGACTCTTTAATCCATCTTCATCAAAATTGGATCCAAATTACAAAGTTAGAGTTAGTGCGGTGGGGCTACACCTGTACGACCAACAGTTAAATTCTGGTTAATTTACTTAAGGCCTTGTTTTGTACGCTTCTTCTGTATAATAATTATTTAATTGTATGCATATAAGTGATTATTATGTACTAAGAATATATTCAACTTTGTTGAAAAGTTCGAAATTTATTAAGTTTAAAATTCAAAAGTTCTAAAGTTCACTTACGCTTTTTCCTTCCAAAGCATCGAAATTCAGGCAGGAACTTAATATGCAGAAAATTATAAAACAGTATTTGAAGACTAATTTTTGTACAAAACACTTTTATTTTCACAATTCTTACTACGAACACAAAAACAAACGTAGCTATACAAACACAGCACATCTAGACCAAATGACACACAATACTAAAACAATTAAAGCCGATGTCAAATGTTCCTTTTTTTTTTTTTTTTTTTTTTTTTTACTGCGCTACTGTTGCTACTGTTAAAAACAAAAGTGTCTATTCTTCTTGTTTGTGTTAGGCCATTTTCCACACTCGCTAGGAGCTACATGCTTTCGCTACTAATTTCGTTTTGGTATTTTGCGTTGGTTCACTATAAACGGCGTTTCACTTTTCGAATTGTCGCCACCAAATATTAGAACCCTGCATTACATTTAAAGAAATTAAATAATGAAGAATCTGCATGAATGTATATATATATTTCTCGCATTATGAAAAAACAACGGTACCTAGAGACATCAAATTTTGAATGCCGTAGTCCTCTACTCGGATATGGGCATCTCGAAACCCAAATTTGGAATCTGGAATTTGTTTTATCTCTATATTTTGTAAAACTTTAATGAATTTTTGATTAGCAAACTCAACGATTTCAAAGCGAGCAATGCCAACAATGTACGGAAAAAAAAAAAAAAAAAAAAAAAAACCATCCAGCGCGCGAGACTGCATATCGGGAATTCTGAAGATATGCTCTTTTTAAATTATTTTGTGATACTGCTGTTGAATTGAATTTTATGGGGCGAAGAACATGAAAGGTAACACACAAAACGTTAAATAAATAACAGTAAATGCTCAATTTAAAACTATTTCGCGATATTGCTCTTGAACTGAATTTTATGGTTTAAGTGCGAAGAACATGATATTTAATAAATAAAGGTAACAGATAAAATGTTAAAAAAACACCCCTTTGGATGTAATTTAAATTCTGAAACCTTTCAGATTTTTTTATTATTATTATTATTTTATTTTTCGTACGGAAGTCACACTTTTTGTATTTTATGTTATAAAATGAGCATAAAATTTTCCTAAATACAAATACAGTAATTGGGAAAACGCATAAGATGTTAAGTTTGTTAATTTTTACGAAATTGGATATTTTTTTTTAATTTAAAAATAAAAAACCATAAATCTTTGTGCCATTTAAAGAGTTTTTGTAACTGAAAGTATTTGTCTACGAAAAGTTATTGTAAAAATAAAGGCTGGATATAAGGATTTTTACAGATACACTGTGTATGTATATATGCATGTAACACATAATAAGATACGTACGCTATGAAATAATTGGCAACTTCAAAATTGAGTATTCTAGATTTTATGTTCCTCCCCCCCCCCTAAGTTTCTCCTTTCTTCCAAGTTCGAAATCTTACCGAATTACACAACACGGCTTGAAAAGGGAACTAAAACCTAAAATTAACCAATCGCAGCTTAGCTGTACATATGCACCTGCCTAGTATAAATACTGCTTCACGAGTAATTACGTCACTTCTTAACTTCTCCTGTCTTGCAAAACCTCTGCTGCTATGCTTACTTTTCTAAGATGACGTCGTACCTTTTTAATCTGTGTACATAAGAATTATTTTATCCGACTGTGATCGAAAAGTATATTGTCTACAAAGAAATGATGTGATGTGTATAAAAATGAAGATGGTGATTCTTCAAATTCAATTTTGTTAGCTTAGTCTTCGTGCCTTCACTCTCACCCATGACGACTGCCGGACGTTAAACTACCCAGTTTTCAAGCAGCGCATTAAAATATAACATATGTATACAGATACATATATGTGATGTATCAGCTTTTGTCAGGAATAAATAGATTGTTGAAGAATCATCAATGTAGTCATAGCTTAAATAATCAGACGATAAGTTTAAAAAACAGGATCTCATATTTATTATTCAAGAGAAAATAGCATTTACAAAAATCAGATATCCGGAGTAAATAAAAAGAATTACTAATAACTTTTTGTATGAAGTTTACTGCATCGTGACATTTAAGAAAAAGCCCCGATATTCTTTTGCGAGTCATTTTATAGCCTCTGGAAAGGCGGAGCTTCCAAGAAATGACGTCAGCCTCGTCAGCCAATCCAGTTCGCTTGAAATATTTCCAGAACATTCTAAAACTGTACGTGTAGAAAAGGCGGGAAAAACAACTTGACTACGGGGCTGTGAATTTAATTCCACGTACTTTCAAATAAGAGAACGTCGCCATTAAAAATGAAAAGAACATACAGTTAGAATTTTAAGTATATTCTTGACTATGGAATTTTATTATTAAAAATATTCCCCCCATCTGAAAAGGCTTGAAGCCGGGCGCCTCGACCACAAGACATTCCAAATAGAAAAAATATTTTAAATAATTGTTTAATTTGTTTGAAGAACTCGCATCCAGAATTCGAGTTACAATAATATTAATCTTAAATAGACACTCTCACTATAACACAGTCAATAATAATATCAATATATAAATTGTAAATAATATATCTTAATATATTGACATTTATAGAAAATAAAGAAAAATAACATTATGCATGCAGTATTGGAAAAACATTTCTCGAGAACAGTTTCAGTTCTGGATCCAGGTCTTTAGAGATTGCTGCAAAACATTAGAGCAGTTCGTATTTTACAAATCTTTCATTTACATTTCGCCGTGGCTTTAATATTAAAAATTTTTATTTGAGGTGAGGTATTCCTCTATTATTTTTTCATATCATTGACAATTGCAATACTTGACTAATTTCTTAACATTTCCTTTTGACTTATGTTTGTTTACGGTATTTTATTTTGACTACTTATTCATATGAAACACTTATTTTGATAATAATCATTTTACACAATAATTTTACCTTTTACTATCGACAATGACAATTATGTCATATACTGTATTGTCGTTCAACACAACTTTCAACTTCAATAGTATTTTATAATTACCATTAATGTCGTTGCCGAAAAAAATTGACACATAAATACAAAATAAATACAAGATACAAAACAAACACACCAAAAATTTACAACACAGAAAATTAGACATTAAATAATTAGAGGTGCTCTAATTACCTTTAGTAGCAACTCCAGTTGAGCGTTTACCAAAAGGAAGGTGTGTCTACCTATTGGTGATG